TCACCACCACCGCCACCTCCACCTTCACCACCACCGCCACCTCCACCTTCACCACCACCGCCACCTCCACCTTCACCACCACCGCCACCTCCACCTTCACCTCCACCGTCGTCCACCCCGCAACCCCCTCCATCGCCACCTTCCCCATCACCACCAACTGTGAACAGGAAATCCCGCCCACCCCCACCATCTTCCTCTCCTCCCCCACCTACCCCTCCTCCCCCACCTACCCCTCCTCCCCCTTCTTCCCCACCGCACCCCCCGCCTCCCACATCCCCAAGGACGCCACGGCGATCTCGTGCACCGCCCCCACCTCCCCCTTCGCCGGAACCCTCCCCGCCCCCGCCACGGCTTCCCCCTCCCTCCTCGCCCCCGCCTCCACAACTTTCAACGTCTAGCGTCTTATGGGCCACTTCGGCAGATAGCGGCCAACAAAAGGTGCGTTGCCTGCTATACATATATACGCTATTTATATGAGCTATACACATATTTATGAGCTTATGGCAATAGCAGCTGACTTCACATGCGTGCGCCATCTCGGTGCATGTGCTAAAGCGGTACACAGCTGCTGTTGCTGCTGTGAGACCTTTTGCGCGAAGTGATACCGTATTATAATAATGTATGTGGTTGTCTGCCTGCTGCCTGATATACCCTGGACACAGAATACATGCGATACATGTTTTTTCACTTAGGGCTGTTGGTGTCAACCTCTCGTCGGGCAGGGTCTTGTAGCAGCAGCAGCTGACCCCGCGCGCGTGCCGTCAATACCTGACCTCTCCGTCACCGCCCGCCGGCCACGTCGGCCTGCAGCCGGCCTGTTGCCCTGCCAATACTCTACCTGCCTAGCTACCTGCCCTCCTGGCTGGCTGCCTGGTCATCAAGAGCATCACATTAGTGATTCTATCTGCCAGCCGCCATCGACCAGCAGGCCGCCGTAATACACCCGTACATACATACACTCAGACATACGTACATGGTATTGTTGTGCTAATTTGGTGCTGCCTGCCTGCAGGGATCAAGTGACCCGGCCTTCAAGGTGGTCGGGGCGCCCATCAAACAAGTGCTCAGACTCACCAGCTGCAATGAGCGGCCATCCGCGGCCCTAGGCTACTCACCGTCCACCAAGAAGGTGCGTGTGTGGACTTTTCTATCATGCACCCATATTTTTTTATTACTTGTTTCCGTCTTCTGATCGGAGTCTATCCCCAATGCCACTTCTGTTTGCAGGGTGCACCTGCTCCAATCGTGGCCGTGGGCTTCGAGGGCAACCCGGCTAAGACGGTTGCCGAAACACAGAGTGTGGGCATATACTTCGTGTACCTTGGGGCGCTCAATCCGATCATCACGAGAGTGACATTGCTCGTCGTACCTAGAGGTGGAACAGCCAAGGTGGGTGCAGCGCCTAAGTACGGCCACCGTACACGCCGTACGTCCATCGTGCATTAACACCGTACAAGCACCATACAACAAAACACCGTTGCGTGCGAACAGGGCCTGAAACCCTGCTGCATGTAAATGCAATCATGTTCTTACATGCGCATCTGTGTTCCTTATTCTTACGCATGTATGCATGTCGTCTGGTTTAACATTGGTGGTTGCTATAAGGTTGGGCGTGTGTTAACGCGCCGACATGGGCTTGGGTTGTACAAAGCAGCTGGTTGGGGCGGAGCTGAGGAGCAGCCGTTCTTGATCTCGTATGTAGCCAAGTATGATGTGTGGGACAGGGGACCGTATGTTCACGCGTGGCCGTATGTATGTTGTTATAGGGTGGTTAAGCTTCACCAGCGGCCCCCTTTCCCGAGGCAGTTCCCTGCTCTCCCCTGCGAGAGGGGCACCCTAATCCATTCACCCCATCCGACTTCAGAATGTATTCGTTGGGTTCAGCAACTCACCACCAGCATCCAACCAAATCTAGCGGATCAACGGCGCCTCAACTTAGTTCCTGGTCAGCTCGCAAGTTGATATTATCACGTCCTACACCGTCCATAACATGGAGGGCCACCATGTATGTATGTATGTATGTATGTATGTATGTATGTATGTATGTATTGGCCGTTAACGAAAGGGCCTTGCTAAGAGGCACCAAAGTGAACCCGTCTTACCAGGGCTCCAGGCAACTGCAAAATCCAACTAGGTTTATAACAAGAAGAAGCGAAATCTGTTGTACCACCACCACACACAGCGCTAAGCAACAAGAGGCCCTCCCATGCTGTCCGTTACATGAAAGAGCAGACCTTAAGCAATGTACAATAGTCCGTGTGTGTGTGTGTGTGTGTGTGTGTGTGTGTGTGTGACAAGTCGCTGAGCATTTACTTTCTGACTGTATGTTGTGTGAACGTCATGCCTTTTCCAAGCGCCACGCATCCCCCCAAGCATGCGACGCATCCCCAGCCGCGCATGAATCAAAGGCACGCACATATCCAACCATCCATGCACGTATTGTACACTTTATGTTGGGACGACCTGCAGGTGGCTGTTCCCATCTTCGTCGCGACCACGGACCCGGCCCCGGCCTACAATTGCCCGGGCCTCACGTACTTCACGTTCTCTGCGAGCTTTCTTGCTTCGCGGTCCTCTGCGCTGACTGCGGCAGGCTTCTCCACTGCTACGGTGGTAGGCGCGCAGTTTGACTTCAATGGCACACCGGTGGATACGATTGATAGGCTGGCGGTCGTGGCGGCTGTGGGCCTTATCTTGGCCTAGTAAATGTTCAGCGCTGATTGAGTATGGCGACTCCTGGCGACCAAGCAAGCACATGCGATCATGTCATTAACTTAATTGCATGGTTAGTAAGCACCCGACTGATGACTTCCAAGCTAACACATTATTATGAGCACTCGTTCGAATTTGCGGACACCCAGTTGAAACTTTTTCCTTACAGCTTCTCAATTGTGGTTGGCTGTTGTGGTGTTCTTGTTTCCACACCGCGCGCTCAATATATATAGTCGTCCTTGAGATGAGTTCATGCATAGCGCCCATGTATTGTATTCACACAACCTGCTTGTAAGTGTAGTTATAGAAGTCAGCTCCCGTCGTGACCTCCATTACTAATTAGCGCTGTCTCAGCATAAAGAATCGGGGCCAACATATGCCGTTTGACCATACATATGTATTACGGCATGCATGCCGTAAGCGCATGTACGGTCAAACACAGAACCCATGGATCCAGGAAACCCATGCATATATGAACATGGTTACGTACGAGCTCGCTGAAGCTTGTAACATCCATCCATCCATCCAGATATGAACAGCGGCTGATAACTGTGGCTGGCATTTGGACATGTATCCTTTCCACCGCGGTCGACTCCGACTCCGGGAGAGCTGCTGAGTTGTCTTATTAAGCAAGCTGTTGCAGAAATGTGGGTTCGCCGCAATCCCGTATCAAATTTGCATAATTTGCCTGGTTCCTTCTTTCTCCCTTTGGAAGTGGCCTTTCCGACGTATTTATTGTAATTTATGTCATCATATGCCTATTTGCGCACGCGCGTTGCTTGACCACGTGGCGTCTTTTCTGTTTTAGCCATGCACGATGCGCATGTACGGAGGAATGCATCGATGCGTAATCGCTTCGAGCTGCTAATTGCCTCCCTACTGCTTTCATAGACCTCATAAACCTGGCGGAAAATGAAGTAAGGCAAAGTCGCAGTCCATGCATGGCGTACCTGCTGTTAAGTAAAAACATTTACATGACTCGGTAGCTATAGGTGCTGCCTAGCTAGCAGGTGTACCTGCGTCGGCTGATTGGCTTTTATCCATTATGCTTTTGTTCTCTTGATCGGTCGGCAAACTGGTGCGTCGAGTGTGATTCCATCGATATTCAGCATGTCACGAATAGGATGTAACAATCTGCTGCTGGGCTGGGTGCCTGCATGCGTACGTGTAGCCGGCGGCGGCTGCTTAAATAATAGTGCTCACGATGTCGATTTTTACTCTACGCATGCATGCATGATACAACGACTAGGGGTGGCTACCGAGCAACGAGCTCAGCGAGAGACCCTTCTGCACGTATTTGTACGTGGTTAGGGCCAAACTGGAAAATTTGTGCATCTGTCCTTCATTCATTCATTGGTCCCTGTGCACTTGTGCACTACACATATGCCACGATTCCGACATGAAGTAGTGGATTACGATGGACAGAGAGCAAGCAAGACTGGCCCACCTGTTACGTAGCATTACGTAGCTTATACACTCGCCTCCACACAAGTGGCGGTCGTAGTTGGCAAGTGTCCTTGTTTCCTTGTGTATATTGTTTGGGTACTAGAATTTTGCGTTGAAATGTCCCTATACCTAAATTGTGGTTTCTAGGCTCTTGGGCCTCTGCTAGCTCGTATGGGCACTCGTTACACCTCTCTGCAGCTGGGTAACGCAACCGAGGTGTAACACATACATACACACGCACATATGTGATGTTCCAACAGCAGCTTGTGCCTCCGCGCGCGCTTCCTAGGCCTTTCACATCTCATTCGAGGTTTGCGCCCCCGAGGGATCCTTATGCTCCTATTTGCATGTGTGCTTGTTATCGGCCGCTGTTCCTGTTCTGTACGCAACACGTGCGATAGTGTATGGATGGGCCATGAGATCCTGCGTCGTACGTCTGTACGCCAAAAAGATTGGGGAGCATCTATAAACCATTCATTTTCAGTCCTATCTATTATACCATGGCAAGATCTATATAGACCATTCTGTATCACGAACCCATGTAGGATTTTTTTTTCGGTCATAACTATCATAGCAACAAACATTAGTTTGTCAGTGGCGGCATTAACAATCAATGGTATCTCCGTAACCCCCCTCATGTGCAAGGAACGAAGCATATCAGTCAGTCGAGAAAGAGATGAGCGACAGGAGCTATTTGCACCAACTCCACACCCAAAGGAAATCACGAGTCCTAGTCAAAAGAAAGGCCCAGTGAAGCTGGGGCCCTGTAAATCGCCATCGCCGCTCTCAACATCACTGTCGCAATCATCGCTGCTAACGTATTCGTGCATGCTAGTGGTTCCACCACCGGCACCATCCTTCCCCTCTGCCTCCGTTCCCTCCGCAGCAGCACCTGTTGGCCGTGCGCTTCCTCCCGCCGCGGTTGCCGCCGCCATGCTACCGAGCGAACCTTTCCCCTCCTGGCGCACTCCCGCATCCTCATTCGCATCCACGCAACCCTCATCATCATCATCATCATCATCGTCACCACTGTCGTACACAAGGCCCAGCAGTCCTCCGCCTGTGCCGCCGCCGCCGCTGCTACCGTAATCTGTGCCCTCCCTGGCGGCTTCCTTAGGGAGGCTGCCGTTCTGCGCCTCCAGGTGCTGCTGATGCTGTTGCTGCTGCTGTTGTTGTTGTTGTTGTTGACCGTCGTGTTGGTCTTCCTGTTCTCGTCGTCCTTCTTCCTTGTCATTATCGCACTGCTGCTCATTACGCTGTTGTTGATGCTTGTGATGGTGTTGTCGATTCAACGAGCCCGAAAGATCCGTCGTACGCAAGGCACCCGTGGGAGTGGTTACTGGTTTCGGGGCAGGTGACGGCAGAGTGATGGCTGGCGGTGCCCAGCCTAACCTCGGAATACACGGGGCAGACGGAGGTGTCATATGAGAGAAGGGAAACAGGGAAGTGAAAGACTTGCACGAGGGACAATATGTAGGCAGGTGGGGCCACCTGTGGGCAGGTGGGCGTGTGCACAGCACAGCAGTTACCCGGCAGACCACCCCTTTCAAGCCACCACATCTCCTCGAACCCGAATTATTTCCTTTTGCAACATAGGAGCTCCAACTCCAACCCTAAACCCCCACAACAAGACGATCCCCCGCAACTACCACACCGGCCTCGGACACGTCCGGTACCACAAACCACTGCCCTGCCTCTCACCAACCGCCTAACCAACGGCCGTCCAACCGCCAACACCCCGCCAGCATCAACCAAGCCCCGACATCCCACCTCCTATGGTCAGCGGCTCATCACTTCGTGTAGCAGCTGCCACCACCTCCTCATGGCTCATCACGTCATGGCGCCGTGGTGCAGCACAGGCAGGATGACCGGAGCCCTTGCTGCCCCGCCCCGCCGCGGCAGGGGTGCTCCTGCACCGGGGCATCCGTGCCACACACACACACACACACACACCACGCTTCACGTGCTTACACGCACACAAGAGCAATGCAAACGCAGCTTCTTAGTCGGCACATGGCGACACCGCTCCCCTCCTCTGCAGCTTCATTCGTGTGTGGTTCGTCTTTCCCCCTCCTCTGCACGTATGGCGAGAACATACGGTCGGCTCTTCCTTGCTATCAATTTCTCATCACCTCGTTCCTAGGAAAGTGTGGGGCATAGCGACCATGACGCTGCCCCCTCAACGTGACAACTCCAGGAAGAGGGGCGCCTATTGAGCGGTTTTGGTCGTTACCATCCGGAGAGCGTGGGTGGCCGGGATGGCGGGAATAGATGCGGTCCCCGGAAGGGTGCATCAAGGGAGCGGGACGGGATGATGTAGTGAAGATGATGTCGGAAAACTACCTACCTAGCCGCCAAGACTAAAACAACCGCGGAAGAAAAGCAGTAATGCCAAGCCGTAAAGAAGGAAAGGGGGGGTTGTTACAGCAGCACGCGGGACCCCTTCCCCTTCGCCTTCCCCTTCCCCCGTACCGTACAACGACCTTCCAACGGCCCTTCTGCGCAACCCACCCCTACCTGGGTTCCCCAACGCCACGGCCGCCACCCGGCATCCGACCGGCACTCACGGCGCCGTGGCCCCCGGCAAAACTGTTTACCGCTCCTGCGGCTCCTGCTGCTGACGGCGGATAGGCCCCAGCTGGATGCTGCTGACGACCGCCTCCGAAACCTCCGCCTCCACCTGCACCTCCTCCATGTGCTGACGACCAGGCCGCCGCCCCCAGCGCTGAATCCGTCATGTCCTGGTAGCTGGTTCACCGCGGGATCGCACCACCGGATCGCACCACAGCCGGGACAAGTTAGTCCAGGAAGCCAGGAAGGTAAACCAGCCAGACAGCTGGCTAGGCATTTAGGTGGGCACACAGATGAGGTAGACAGGTAGATAGGTTTTATTAGGTCGACGAACAGACAGACCGACAAACAAACAAACAGATAGACGGACAGGGCTGAGGCGCAGGAGAGGATGTGGAGGGGGGAGGAGGTTCATGGTGCAATAGCCAGGCCGCTCGCGATGTGAGCCTGCAGGAATGAGGACCTGCACCGGCAGACCAATTAGGGAGCTCCAGGAAGCCAGCCAGCATCTATCCACACACGGCACAAGTATAGCTGTGGTAATGCATTCGTACGGCATCTTACTCACACGGCCCGGCGCTGCGCAGCCAGCTGCTGCTCGGCCAGTTTGTCCAGGGCCTTCCGATGCACCGGCCCCGCCAGGTGCTGCTGGTACTGCGCCTGACTAGGGAAGTTGGCCTGGCGGAGTTGGTTGGTTGATTGGTGGTTGGAAGTTGGAAGTTGGTTGGGGAGGTTGATGGTTGATGCTGAGCGTGGGGAATGTAGCACTATGCATGCGGGGTTCAGGATGCAAAGAGGCAGGTAATGAAACAGGAGAGAGGCAGCGCAAACCGAAACCGGTAGTTCTCTGTTATGGGGGTTGAGGCACCACTGTCGTGGTTCGCAGTACGACGCGATGCAAGACAGCTTTTCGCAGGCAGCCAGGCAGACAGGCAGGCAAGAAAAAAATCATGGTGATTCCCTGTGTGACATTTTGGTCCGCGCGATTTCTTCCATTAATTCCTTAACCCCTGTGGTGCTTTCCTTACGTTGCAAAGCTCGCAGCGAAACAACTCGGTCGGCTGGGACGCCAGTGCGGAAATCTCTGACAGCTTCGCCACGGCCGCACTACGGCCGGCATTGCCAGAAGCCACACGTTTGGCTGGGGGGGCTGCTTGCGCATGGGCGGAGGAGGGATGGTCATGGGGTCAAGAGACTGCGCGCATATGGGCGGTGGAGGGTGCAGGTGTGCTGGTTGGGTGAGTTGCCGTGCGGGGTTTTCATCCATGGTCGTGGAAGCTGTAGGCTGTTGACTAGTGCAATGGATGGGGCAAGCGGCTTGGGAGTTTTTTGACTTGTGCCACCTTGGATAGCGGCAGTTTGGAGCGCAAGGCAAGACACGCGCAAGCTGGCGATTATGGACAGGGGGCAGTCCAGAAACATGTCAAACGTTTGCTCTATTACATTGTCCTCACCATCATAAGCGCCATACTCGCCGGCTGCCTCGGCAGCTTCCTGTCCCGATGGACCCACGCGGAGGTTTTCAACAAGAACAGCCATTGGTTCGGCATAACAGAAGTGACAGTAGAACGTTCGGTCTGCAAGGAGGCGATGGACTCACATAGCGCTGAGCCTTTTCGGCAATCCGTCGCTGCTCCCTACTCTGAATGGACCGCTGCAGCTGCGCTGCCTGTGCGCTAAGGGAGGTATGCTTTTTATCCATATTAACAACGCACGTAGGACGGGCGGCTTGCGGTCAGTGGTAGTGTCAAGGCATTCCGTGAATGGTGGCCCGTCACAGGTAACCGAATTAATGTGAAGTAGAACGATATATTCTCGGCGTATGGGGAACTACCAGTATTAGGGAACACTAGTACGATGTAATGCTGCTTATAAAAGCAACAGCTCGATGGTGCAACTGACACCGACATGCCTCATCCCGCTTCCCTGTATCCCTTTTCCCTAAGGCCTACAGCGACACATCCTTACAAGCTTTCAAGGCACAGCTTCGCATAACTTGTATGGAATAGCTGTCCATTGCTACCGATGGTTACTTCCCCCATGGACCGCTATTGAGTGGCCTGCTCGACCATGGGTGTGTTTATTAGGATAGACTTTTGCAGAAAACGCATAGGTTTTCTGCAGCGTGCGTCGCTAAGCACAGAGCATCAGGTTCCGCGCGAAGTGCGGTGGTTTCGGAGGCGGCGGTACTGGAGCGGTTGGCGCGGGGATAGAAGCTGTGGATAGTAAAACAGAAGGGACTTTTTCCGTCGAGTTCGTTTACGTACATGCTTGTTTAGGGCTCATTTATTTAGGGAGTCTGCTGAGCCATTGTGGGGCCTCAAACGCTAGGACAACTACAAAGCTTGAAGCAACACGTACCGCCCTAACAGCGCCACAACGGGGAGTTGAAATCGGCAACTACTCGGCCGCCGACAACTGCACATATACACACACATCTCGCCTTGCAGAAGGACACGGAAAACGACTATCATCCACCGTACAAATCCATAGAAGATCAACAACACTCTCACGAATCCAGGATCCAAAGAGCACCTCGCTGTGATTATTGCCCATCTGCGTTAATACTTGAGGAGCACATTGGCCCCTCCCATCAAAGGTCGGCCTGGATTAGAAAGGGCCCCGTCGTCCTAAGGGCTGCCTCCAGCTGCTGCGTAAAACCCTCCACCGTGTCGGTACGGCAGCCGGGAACCCCCATGCCGGCCGCCAGGGCCAGCCAGTCCAGGGAGGGGGTCGATAAGTCGGTGAGGGCCCGCGTTGCGGGGCCCAGGCCAGGTAGTCGTTGGCGAGCAGCTTCCACCTCATGGCGGAAATTTAAGGGTTTAGGAACGCATTGCGAGCAGTGAGAGATTAATGAGGAGTGAAGGGGGGGTAAGGTGGGTGGGAAGAGGGAGAGGTGGATTGGAGTGGGTTGCAGTGGAGTTGTGGGAAGAGGGAGGTGCTATAATACTAGTAAGAGAGGAGAGTTGCTGAGCCGCCAAGGAGTTGCTCTATTGCCGGCACACCTCCTCGAGCAGATAGGTACGTGTATATATAACTCCGTTAACAGCGCCGAACGCAACGGAGCACAGAACCCAATTTGATGTTTTTACAATCAACTTTTAAGGTGGGCAACAAAATCATCCAATCGCACAGGATACGATACGACAAGACAAGACATGCACACATCCTGGTGCTTTCTGATCCTCACTCATCGGGCAGCACACCTTCAGAATGGCGTAGCTGCGGTTGGCGCATATGATGGTGGTGACAGGCAGCTGTTCGCGAGCCTGGCTCCAGAGTGCCTAATCAAACACGACCGTCGCCACCACCATCACCATCGCCGCCGCCACCGGCCCCAAACGCCCGCAGTGGAGCAGTCGCGAGTTGGGGGAGCGTCGGTGGATTCGCATTAAGGGAGGCGTTCGTTCAACAGGGTGGCGAGCATGTCGGGAGGAAGGGGAGGAAGGGGAGGAAGGGGAGGAAGGGGAGGAAGGGGAGGAAGGGGAGAAAGGGGAGAAAGGGGAGAAAGGGGAGGAAGGGGAGGAAGGGGAGGAAGGGGAGGAAGGGGAGGAAGGGGAAAGGTGTGGGATGTGAGGTCCGCGGGATGGTCCATACATGGATTATAGAAATCATGAAAGGGACGTCCATCTGTCCACCCGTCTATCCGCCCGCGCTGTCCGGGCCCAGCACAGGGCAGTCCACAGCTGGGTTCCCTGGGCGGTACGTGAGTACGTACGTACGTACGTGCCGTGACGTACTTGCAAGCTATACATGGCGCTTCCATCGGCTTGCAAGTTGATGACGCGTCGCCGCTGCCGGGTTCCCCGGCTGGTGTTGGCGGCGGCGGCGGCGGCGGCGGGCTGGTCCGCCAGCGCCGCTCCTAGCGCCATGGGCGGTCCGCTGCCGATGGCACCGCCCGTCAGGGTCAGGTGCACGAAGGGTGGACAGCCCTGCGGTTGGATGGATAGAGACACTTCAGTGGCGATGAGAGGAGGATGATGAAAACAGTTTAGAAATTGCCTGAGCCAGGTTTAAACCAAAACACGCAGAAAGAAGCAAGAGCTAGCGAAGCCAAGACTAAAGCACTACGATTAGGAAATTTAAATTTCAAAAGGCCGCTTTCCGTACGTCATTAATCTTTTCTTCTTGACGATGAATGGTGTAGAGTCGGGCAAGGGCGAGGCAAGGATCGCATGCATGTAACGCATGGCATGGCATGTACGGCGTGTACGGAAGCTTTCCTTGGATGCCTCCCAGTACGATGACCCGCTGGTGAGGGACTCGTCCACTACGACTGCCCCCTCCGGCTGCAGCGCCGCCAGTACGGCACACATAGCTGCTGGCGTCAGTCGCCCTGGCGGCGGTACCGCTGGCCTCCGCGGCGGCACGAAGACGCCGCCACAGTTGACCAGCGGCCGTACGGCTGCTGCTGTAGGACCCAGCGCCGCCACCAGGCGGTGCAGTGCCGTGGCGGCGCCCCAGCCCGCGGCCGCCAATGCTGCGGGGTCGAACTCCCACACTGCCGACGGATCGTCATCCCGCTGGGCCACCAACACGCCCGGGGCACCCCTGCGATCGAAAAACAGCCAAGCAACATGCTACCCCTAAGCGCCGTACATCCCATATGTGTCGTACCTAATGTACTACAGATGATGCCGTATTATAGGGGGCTTCGATTTTCTCCTGAAAGGTGATGAAGTGGGAGAAAAAGGAACTGTCTGACGGAGCAGAAGACAGGAGGAGTTCGCGGAAAGCTTCCTGGAAGAAAAAAATGCAATGCTTCGCGTGGTTTAATAACCTGGCTGACCGTCCTACATGCGTGTACGATCTACAGTCTTACATAACCCCTACGACTTATCCTGGTATCCTGGCAACGTGCACCTTCCAACGGGCGGCAAAGCCCTTCCTGGGCGCTGTGACTCACTTGTAGCCAAAATTGGCAACTGGTAACCTGGCATCAACCAGGACGAGGCAGCTGTACCGCGCCAGCTCCGAGGCCGCCTCCTGGGGAAAGTACGGCAGTCGCCGCAGTGCCGGTAGGCCCGCGCCACGATCGACACGAGCGAAGGCTCCTTCGCAGATCAGTACGGCACCAGTGGCGGCGGCGATCTGACCCGCCGCCAGCAGCGCCCCGTCCTCCTCCAAAAGCGCGTCGCCGCCGAGGTACAGCGCCGCTGAGCCAGCGCCACGGCTCTTTGCGCGTAGGAGAGCAGACGCGCAATCGCGAACGAAGGCTTCGGCGGCCGCTTCAGCGCCAGCAGCGTGGGCGGCGGCGGCTGCAGAAGCGGCGGCCGCCGTTGCCCCGTCGGCGGTATCAGTAGAGCCCCTACTCGAGCCCGTGAAGGCGGCGGCAGGGCCGGCAGCGGTGGCAGTAGCACGGCCGGTATCGCTCGTGACGGGGGTCATCGCGGCGGCCAAGTGAATGCTATCGGCAGTTTTGGGCAGAGCCTGCATCTGCAGTGGCGGGGGCGCCGGTGGCAGTGGCGGCGGCGGCTCCCAGCTTAGGTCGTGTGGTACGATAACGGTGACTACACTGCCGCCGACAGGCTTCACCTCTTGTCCAATACCCATCGTCGCGGGCGCGGCACCGAGGGCGACCTCGGCGGTTGTCGGCTCTATAGCCCGTCTTGTGGTATGGCAACCTGAAGTGGGAAAACACGGGAGGAGAAGAAGCTGCTGATATGGAGAGGGGGGGGGGAGTATGGCAACGCTGGACTGTTGGATGCCCATGGAACCGGGGCCTGTCTGTGCTGATGCGCCTCTAGCGTCGGTCCTGGTCAGCTGCAATGCGAGCGCACGGTAGCGGTGGCGGCGGCGCCAGATGGGGCAGTGGCAACCTGCTCATTAATGAGTCCCACCAAGCTCGCCCCCAACATACGTACACGCGTACACGCCGACACACATACATACGAACATGCATGCATGGAGGTACGTACGTACGTGCTCTCGCGTGAGAGTACTAATGTTTGCACCGACGTCTGGCCTAAAGTCCGGCAACTGCAAGCTTTGGACAGGACACGCTACCTGCGCCGCCCAGCGCCGCTTCCAGCGCTGCCGCCATGTCGTACGCGCGGCTGGCGCTGCCTGCTCCAGCGGGAGCCGCGGCGGCGACGTTCACGCCATGGAGACTGACGTCGGCATCCCTTCCGGATCCCGCCACAACCACAGCTCCCGACACAGTCGCTGCCAGCATTTCCAAAGGTGAGTTGAGCGGCGGGTCGTTTGCGCGGTGCCACGTGGCCATATCGCCCACCTGTCGTACATTGTACGGCACAATGATTGTTCTTCCCCGACAGCAAAACTGTCTGTGTAGCACGATTTTCTGTGCGCGACTTTAAGAAAGCTTCTACGACAGGAGCCCAAAGCTATTTAAACATATGTTTGATTGCTTTTATTCTATCGCCAGCAGCCACTTATAGCAGCTGTCGTAACTACCAGGGTTTCCCAATAGCCGCTTTCCTCCAGCTCTCCCCTGAAAAGGTTGAGAACCCCAACTAACCTAGCTACCAGTGTCGCTAACGGGTTGCTGTCCCTACCAGGTTGACCACTGGGCTGCGGGCCCTCCTCGCATTGTGGAGGTTGGCCAGTCCGTTGGCCAGCCCAGGCCCCAGGTGTAGGAGGGTTAGAGCAGGACGGCGTGCGATGCGAGCGTAGCCTGGGGCCCCGTCGTGGATTGAGCAGACGAGGACGCTGATGTCACCTTTCATGTCGCATGTGGAAATGTATTTAATTTTAACAACATGAACATAATCGGGTCTTGTAGCGCTGCTACTAGACCGTGCAAGACCGCCACGCCGTCCTCTCGTCCTGCTCGTCCTGCTCGTCCTGCTGTCGTGCTCATCGAACGATCCTACTCATCCACATCATCCTTCGTAGGCAAGGAAGGACTGCTATGAAGTCACGCGCGTTAGCAACAGGTCCCTTACAATCCAAAGATAAAAAGTGGAAGCGGGCAGTTTGATAGACGTGGAGGCGTGTGTGAGCTAGGGATAATATTTTTCTCGTATCGCTCCCAGCCCCGCGCCCGCGTTCGTTTTACCCTCTACTGCCCTGTGTCGTACCGTCCGCGGCTCCCGTGGCCACGTTCTCTTGCAGGCACAGTATTGGCCGTACGGCAGGCCAGAGTCGGTCCAGCGCCGACACCAGCCACATTTCCGTGGTTCCGGGGTTGGCAAAACACACATCGGCACCGGCTCGCACAGCCGCTAGCAGTAGCGCCTCAGCACCTGTCGTGGGAGTTAAATCCGGTGCTACTACTGCATTCTGTGGTGGTGTCGCGGTTGCCGCAAGGGGGAGGGCGGCTGCTGGCTGCTTTTCGGAATGGCCTGAGAAGTCTAATCGGTGGCTGGTTATATTCGGTGGCATCTCCCGGAAAACTTTGCTGACAGCACCTCCTGTACGGCAACAAAACCGGCAAAGATTGCGGTTTCGTAAACTCCACTTGCTTTGCATAATCCATTTCAGCATCGGACTGGAGTTCACTGCTTTACGCCAAGATGCGGTAGTGCAGCAACACGGGCAGGTGCAGGAGCGCGAACCGATGGCCTCAGTCCCTTAGAGTCCGTGTTGCTTAGTATGGATCCTGACAACAGCAGGTCGCAGAGAAAAGCAGGATGCAACGTGTTGGATACCTATCACCGAAAGCCTAAGAGAAGGGCCGATACCTCAAACTATTTCGGCCTTGGTGGACGGACTTCCTTACTCCTGTACTCCTGTGCTCCAGCGGGTAGCGGATCACAGGACTCTATAGCGGCTGCAAAAACAATCCTCTTATCTATGCTGCGTTTAGATTGTTAAATGGTATTGTAGAAACCCAGTAAACCACATCGCCACACGTCGGTCACATTCCACGGTCACCGCGCCGTTCGGCGGAAACGGTGTAGTACCTTTTTCGGTCTGTCCAGTACAGCCCGCACTCGCGCGTGCAGCCGCGTGCGGCTCTCGGACCGGCCACCGCTCTGAGGGAAGCCGCGGAGATCAACAATCCGCGCCAAAAGCCCCTTACCACGAGACCCTTATCGTCTCAATTATTTGCGGCAAGCCGTGCTGCTTGGGTAAAATAGCCATGGAGCCGCGCAATCCGGTTAGCAGTGAAATGTGTCTCGGGACGATTATTAATATCTCTGGCCCTTCTGCATGCTGTGTGCTTTTCCTCCCGGCATTTCGCTCGTTCTCCTGATCCCCGTCGAACAAGGGCCAGTGGCCGGCCCGTCGGTCCGCCCCGAAACCCCTATACCCACCGGGAGACGGTGTGCCGGAAAACCCCCGTTCAGCAACTATGGAGGCAAAAACCCATTTAGGCTAGGGGCGGCGGAGAAACTGGTTTGACACAGGTCAGGACTTATATAAGCAGTTTAGATGCGAACTTTGCATGGCACTGATTGGCTTTGTTATCCCTTTTTTTCGCCTCCTGGGAAGGGGAGGAAAGGAAACCCATTGCGGCATTGTACCTTGCGTCGCCGCTCTATCACGGCCTCTCTTCACGGCCTTGGGCGGACCACCTTACGTGCGCCATCAACCCATCTCAAGCGTGGGAAGACGTTTGTGCCAAAAAGCAGAGAACACAAGTAGACGGCGAAACGGCAGGCACTTACGCGAGCACCTCAAGGTCGTACGATTGCCTATCCTGGATGCTAACTATCTGTACTGCTTATATTGGAATTAGGCTCTAGGCGATGCGATAGGTCCTATACTCTGCAAGCTATAGCATGAATGGCCTCCCCACTATGCAAGTCACAATGCGCAAAACGCAACAACGTCCCGCAAGCCATGAATCGAGAGAGAGAAAGAGCAATCGGGGGCCAGCTCCGACTTTGCTAGATCCCGCTTCCATCCGGCCACCGACGCTACTGAAAGCTAACGAACAAGCACAGACAGGACAGCGCAAAAACGTCAGTACCATCTTCGGAAATCCGCGTTTGTTATTCGCGAAAATGCGAGATCAACCCACACCACACCACACCACACCACACCACACCACACCACACCACACCACACCACACCATGCATAACTCAGTGGACACCCCTAGAACTCGTACAAAGAAAAAAACTCCTAGTAAAACTCCTGCAACCCTCTCCCTTGGCCCAACCTGCCAATAACCCGTCATACATCTTCGTGCAATGTCGTACATAAGTGCTAAATACATAGCCTCCCCTTACCTGCCGGCTCGCAAGACTCCTGGCTAGCTACTAGGCAAGTTTGAAGTTTTCCAGCAAAATTCAATCCCGGAATGACGCTTCCAACGACACCCTTCATCACATACATCGGATCCCTGAAACAATAGTACGGTACGACAAGGCAGTACGGCACAGCAGTTAGCGTCCCTGCGGCGCCAACTGCGTGAACGACGACGCGGAGCGGAGCCGACTCATCAACGTAGCACCGCCAGGATTGTTGTCGTACCCCAGACCGCCACCGCCACCGCCACCGCCGACGGCGCCGGCAGCGGCAGCGACCGCTCCCGTGGCGGCCGTAACTTGCGGTGTGCTCCCCGTCGCGAACAACAGCCCCGGCGACGGTCCATATCCCCCGGCTCTACTATTCCCGTACAGAGACCCAGGACCGCCTGCTGTTGCTGCAACCACGCGACTTGTGCCGGGAGCTGGCGTTGCCACATGCGGCCGCGGCGCCATACCAGCTGTCGCACTGCTTCCGTAGCTGCCGTACCCTTCGGCCTGCTAGTGGAGAAGGAGGGCGCGGTAGTGAAAAAAGGGGCGGGCCGACAGGAACAAACGATTTTCCCGAGAGCCAGGTTAGTGAGCCCCTAGTGGCCCCAAGTGGGGGCGGGAGTCTGGAGGAGTGGGAAGAGCTCCGAGGGGCGCACACGTGTGTGCAGTAGAAAGCTGTTGTTGGTACATGTGGCGACAGACTAACGACGGTTTAGAAAAAGGAATGGAAATGAAGGCCATCCAGTACTCACGCAGTGCGCCGCGCGGCAAAATATGCCGTAATGAGAAAAGCCCCGGAGCGGGAGATAAATCCCAAACGGAACGACCCATGAAAAGGCCAACGGCCAACCGACATCCACCTTTGAGGACAATAGGCAAAGCTGCTCTGGGGCATACTGGGGCGCACATTTGCTGCCACATTGTGCCTGTTAGCCAGAACTACTCAATTAGTCCTAACGACTAACTACCAACCTCCAACCCACCTGCTGGTATGCTCCTCCTGCACTGGCATAGCCGTTGGCGGGCAACGACCCCGACCCCGACCCCGAGCCCGGGCCGGCGATGTGGTGGTATGTGGGCACCTGCTGCGATACGGAGAAGGGCTGGGGAGGCGGCGACTGCGGGTGCGGGTGGGGATGGGGATGTACGGGCTGCACGGCGCGCGGCGTGGTGTTGTTGGAGTATGAACCTTGGGCGGCGGGGCTTGGGTGGCCGGGGCTTCCGATAGCAGCGGCAGCGGGCGAACCGAGCACGCTGGGTCGGACAGGTCCTGGAGAGAAGACCAGGCCGCTGCCGTTGCCGCTGGAGGCGCCGGCAGTAGCAGGTGCGCCGACGGCGCCACTGATGCTGCTCAGGGAAAGCCGGCCGGGACTCAACTGTCCGTGCGTTCCCAGACTGCCGTACGTAATTGCCCGCAGGGCGTTGTACGACATGCCGCCGCCGCTGGGATCAGCCCATGCCGTCGGAACGCCGCCTTGCTGCTGCTGTTGCTGCTGCTGCTGTTGTTGTGTTGGCGGCGACGGCTGGCTGTGGTGGCGACTCGGCTGTGGCGGAGGCCCAGGGGGGCAGCTCCAACTGTTGGCGTTGCCGCTGCCCCAGCTGGCGGCGCCGCCACCGCTACCGGGCGCTCGCATTGCAGCTGCCGCTACCGCCGCCACCGCCGCCGCCGCCGGCCCGGACTCTCCCGGCAGCTCTGATGAGTGCACCTACGTGATTCGTGTGAAGACAAACTTAAACCCTAAGCAGCGCACAATTTAACGTCCAATAGGGAATCCAGCATCGTAGGTTGCAGCTTTTTATCTCTCAGCTTGGGAATCTCGGCGTTGCATCTCCTTGCTGGTTTGCTTACTCACGCACTCTGATATCATTCCGATAGAGGAGACGTGCTCAGAGCCCAGGCACGGGACATCAAATGCAGGGCGCACTAAGCAATCTATCAAATGCTTGGGGGAGCTGTGCTGTTTTTAGCTGCTGCCGGCCAGGCATGGAGATGACGTTGAAGTAAAAGTTGGAAGGCGGGGAAGGGGGAAACGGGCGGCAAGGTTGTGTCGCCGCCTTCGTGAGCGTCCCCAAGCCGCCTAAAAATAAAGCTAATTATATCATTATATTATATTTTAATGGAGTGTAAGGTTTTGTGGTGTGTAAAGATGTTCTGAATGCCGTACCGCCGGACCGCCGGACCTCCGGGCCACCACTGATGTATCATCCTATCCAACTACAGGACTTAACAGAACGGGAACTCCAACGTCCTGCTTCAGCATCTTGTGGGTTGACCATCATGACCAACATGATATTACTATTTGCAAGAGCAACGCATTCCCTCACTTTCACATTCCAACGCTTTCCCTTCTTTCCTAAAACGTACGCAGGGGATTGCAGCCAGGATGAGAGCGCCTGAGCTAACCTTGTGCAGTCCTGACGGCACAGAAGTACCCCCTGTCCCTGTCCCTCCTCCTCCTCCTCCTCCTCCTCCTGCTGCCATAAAGGTGACCTCGCTGCTCACTCGCGTCAGCTGCTGCACCCGTGGCGGTGCCGCCAGACGGAGCGAAGGACCACCAACGGCAGCGGCGGCAGCCGCTGCAGCTGCGGCGGTCGCGGCACCGAGCCCGGCACCGGCGCTGGCGCATGATGGCGCCGCTGTCGCCGCCGCGGCGGCAGCCGCGGCAGAAGCAAACGCGCCCTGCCCTGCACCAGAGGTGCCGCCGCCGCCGCCCCCGCCGCCGCCGGCGATGCCGTTCATGGCGGCGGCGCTGTAGCTGTTGGCTGTAGCTCCGTTGGGCGTCGGCGGCTGAGCAGCTGTCGACGCGGCTGCCCCCGGCGGCAGAGATCCCGGTCCCTTGCTCGAAGAGACGCCACTGCCCAGGCGTCTAGATCGGACGAAAGCAACGTTGGGGCCGACGGCGCCGGAGGCAGCGTTGCTTCCGTACAGCGGACTGTCTGGCACCCGGCGAGCTCCTCCTGCTGCTGCTCCTGCCACCGCCAATGCAGGATTGATAGCGTCGGCATTAGGTCAGTGGGTTAGTCCGTTAATCGGTGGCCAGCTAGTCGGTTAGTCCGTTGATCGGTTAGTCAGCTAGTCGGTTAGCAAGTCTCCATGTTAGTTTCGACGTTTGCCGATTCGCTCCGAGCCAGAGCGGCGAACAGGCGGTCAGCCCTCTGCAGGAAGTGACCTACTTATTGGAGTTGAGGAGTCATCATTGCCCTCCTGCATATCACGCAGCCTAGAAAAGAGGACATAGGAGGCCGTTACTTGGCCGATATGGCAGTGTGCTTGAGTGGCTGTACACCCTAAGGGCCGGTGCAGCACGGAAAACACGCCTCGGCCACATGCACGCTACACCAGCCACTCGCGCGCTCACAGACCTGCAGCCGATGACCCGTAGTCAGCGTCGTACGACGAGCCGTACCCGGACGAGCCGTTGCCTCGCGCAGATGATGCCGCCGCTGCACCGCTGATGCTCCCGTGGGGCCTCATAAAGCCGGGAACAGGGGGAATGACAGGCCAACCCAGGCGGCCGTTGACCGCCGCCGCCGCCGCGGCGGCGGCGACGGCGGCGGCAGCCGCGCCGCTGCCGTTTCCAGGCTCTACGCCATAGTACGGCGCCGCCGGATCCGCAACCATGAATAGCCCCGGGCCTTCGTCGGGGCCACCTAAGCCAAGACTCAGCGTCTTGCCTTGTACGGCACGGTAGATCTGCAGGGTACGGCGGGTACCGCGCCGTACAACCGTCCAGTCAAGGAATGGTGGGCGGGGAGGATTGCGTCACGTAGACATGTGCGCGCATGCAAAACACACTCTCTCTCACACACACAAGCATCCTTAAGCTGAAACAGTAGCCGCGCGCACATGTTGCAAACTCGTCCCAACTGTGGTTCCTACTGGCATCTCCCAAACTTCCCAACGAGAGAAACCGAAAAGATAACCTCGTACGCCGGTCTTTTTACTGCAAAACTCGGGCCAAGGATTCCACTCGAGCGACATTAACCTCCGAGTCCTAAAGTTCTAGCGCGTGATGCCACAACCGCTCTACCAGATCGGAGTCCTCATGCCGTACCTTCGGCGGTGGCGGCGCAATCTTCTCCCGCGGCGGGGCGTTCGCCGCCAATCGCGCCCACACCGGCACGCGGGGCGCCGCAGCGGCGGCGTCAGCTCCCCCAGCAGACCCAGACACGTGTCCCGTACGAAGACGCGGCTGGCTTCCGCCTCCGCCGCCCCCGCCGCCTTCCCCACCGCCGTGCCCATCGCTGCAAAACGACGGACAAACAGCAGGCCGTCGGCGCATGACGACGTTTAACAGGACTCGGCTGCCGTGTGACGGCTAGCACTCGCCCATGGCCGCAACAACGGCGGGTTGTTGGTGATTGGCGTGCACATCCTTAAGCGCCTGCCGTGTCTTAATTTCCTCCGGCAGTTTATGCTTCTGCAGGTAACAGACCTCGGCCATCCCGGACTACATATCCCAGGGAGGTGCATCCCCATATCATCTTGCCCCTAAGCTTCTTCACTTTTCTGATCCCCAACCTACCCGCCTCTTCGCCCGGTGGCGCTAGCCGGCCGGCCGCCGCCGCCGCCGGTAGCTGACCCCGGCCGGACGCGACCGCCGACGCTATTGGCGCCGCCACCACCTGCACCGCCTCGCCCAGGCCCTGCCGCAGCGGCAACGGCCGAGGCCGGCCCGCCTACCGTACCGGCACCGGGCTGCGTGTAGTACCGCCCGCCAGAGCCGGTGCGTGCAGAACTGCGGTCGCCGTCGTACCCGAGTTGACCTCCTAGGGGCACAGAAGCGGGGCGAACATGCGGCGCAAGGGGAACAGTCATGGGTTCCCATCCACTTTGTCCACATTTCCATAAACAAATCAAGTACAGTAATGTGTTGTACTGTATTGTACTGTATTGTACTATGCCTCGTGACCCACTTCGCGGACGCAGTCGTCGTGTTGGGGTCAGCGACGTCCCTTCCTCCCTCCCCCTCACCGCCAGAGAGGCGCTGCCCCGCACTCCCTGATGCCTGCGACGCCGCTGAACCGGGCAGGTAGCCGCCCTCCCCAGCCCCGGCCGGACCACCATTGCCACCCGGCCCAACCCCCGGCGGCGCCAGCAGCAGCAAACCGTCCTCCTCCTCCTCCTCCTCGTCATCCTGCACCAGCACCACCAGGACCAGCACCACCAGCATCATCGCACGGTCGCATGATCAGCAACTCCAGCAACAAATATACGAAACATGAAGTGGATAGGAATTCCGCCCACTGTTGCAAAGGCCCAAACTTCGGCTGACAAGGTTTGGCTTTCTTCGGTGTTATGATGAAAGACGCCACCCCTAAAGGCTCCCTACACCTTCCGGGCCTCTTTTCCCTTGTTACACTACCGCTCGGTTACCCTCCATAGGACTCTTTCACATCCCCCTCATGCATCCCCCCGCCATGACCCCTTTCCCTAACCCTCCGGTCCCCTTTCCGAACAACCGCCCGGTCGCACTTCGAGAACCATGATAGCCTCCACCACCATCATCATCCCGTTCTCGGCCCCGTCGCCGCCGCCGCCGCCCCCGCCACCATTCGTCGACGCCGTCTCCGCGACCGCCGCTGCCGCGTCATTTGCGTGCGCCAGTGCGGCCACTTTGGCGAGCTTTTTCCGGGACTTAAGGGCAGTGTCCGCTGTAACGGGGTTGAGTAAGTGCCGTGGGACCGGATATTACGTAAAAGGAGTGCAGCGGACTCGAAAGTGGCTCCTGGGGCTTGGAGGAGCAGACGGACGCAGGGAGCAACGTGGGTCTGGAAAGCAGACAAAGGCACACTGCAGGCTCATGCAGTCTGCAAACTGCAACAACACTCCCCCCTTTTCGGGGCCCCGCCGGCGCTCCGTTTCCCTCTTGTCACAAGCCCTTCTGCTGTGCGTTTCCAGAGGCTGCCTTGCTGCTGCCTAATGGTGCGTTCGTGATTTCTGCTTCTTATGCTACTGCGGCGGCGCCGGCGCTAGGCGGCTTCCATTCTTGTCTCTCCATTCTTATGCCCGCGGCCGTTGCCCTGCGAATTGGCGTTGCTAGTGCTGCTGGCCCCTCGCCCGTACCCTCCGTCGCTGCAGCCAGAGTCTATTCGGAGTCTCTTGACGCCGCCTACGTCGCCGCCTGCGCCATGCCACTGCCCTTCTACCTCTTAGCCCCCCCTTGCGAAATTCCTTGGACCCAAGTCCGCGTAACGCGACCCACATCGATCTTGCTTATCGACGCTCAGGACCTGCGGGCCCTCATATAGCCCCTCATTGCGCCACGGCTCACGGGCCCTACAGCCACCCATGCTAGTAACCCCCCCGCATTGCCAAGGGCGGACCGCGCACGTGGGTGACAACTTACATGGCCCTCGCGCTGCCGCTGCTGCCTGGGCCGCTGCTTGCGCTGCCGCCTTGGCGTCCTGCGGGTCCTCCCACTCGTCCATGGGTCCCCCTTTGAGACCCGGAAGGAATAATCGAACCTGTATGGCCGGGGATGAGCAACATATGGTCATGGTGCCGCCCCGTGAGCGGCGAAATTCTTGGGGGATGGTGGGGAAGGTGGGTAGGTTAGCTGTCACGGGCGGGAAGTTGCGGAGCTCGAGGAGGAAGGGAGATTGAGGGATAGATGCCGAACGTTAGGCTGGTCTGGGAGGGGAAGGAAGTATTACTATACGAGCGGGTGTGGGAAGACGGCCATGCGGAAGCAAGAACGCTCGTCGTGTGGAGGTCTACCAGAACCCCCCGTGCGTTTGAATTAGCGTGGTTGGATGTTTAAAGATACAAGTACACTTGAATTTCATGGGTCGTGTCCGTGCGCAAAGCAGATAGATAGGCGTACGCGTTAACAAGAAGCGTCACGGGACGGCGAAGTTTCGGCGCTGTAAGGACTAAGCCTCCAGCACCTCCACGAGACCATGCTCTTTTGCCCACTGTCCATAACCCGTGGAAAAGGAATGTCTGCTTTGTTTTGACGCACAACGGTGGGCGCACCCGTGTCGCCTCTGCAAGCTTAATGCTCCGGGCATTGTAAACATCCAGGTCGTTAATAGATGCCCTGTTCAAGGCAACCGGTGCCGCCTGGCCGGCGCCAATACCTGTGCCGTCTTGCATGACCAACAGCCTATGGGCAAAGGCGTCAACGCCTTTGTTTACTATGTGATTGTACAAGCCATGTAAAGCAGGACATCAATACAGCAGGTCTTAGCGCTGCGGATAGAACTATAATAGATAGGTGGAAGGAAAACGTAAGGCTTGGGTGTTTCTTGCATATAAGTTCCACATGTTTAGAGTGTTGGCTCCCGCATTTATCAGTAAATTGTACTCTGGGAGTTATGCCACGACGTCCGGGCAACCCACGGTGCACCTTCGAGGCAAAAAGGTCCCCAGAGCTGGGTTATGTTTTTGAAGGACTTGTTTGCAGCGTCATTGTTTTTGTTATACTGTATAATAGAGGAGTAAATATCCATACTTCTAGCACTTGGCGACAGCTCTTCAAGAATAGGGCTAAAGTTCAGTAAAACAAGACATCGATTTTCGAGGTCATACGATTATTGTCCATCTATCTCTAGGAAAATCTCTAGGCTTGGCGGACTTGTGAAGCGTACCTCCCGCACGCTGCACATTTCCATCGCCACCCGGCGCAAGCACACGCCGCACCCAGGACCGGCTGTCGAGACATAATCCACTTGAATGACATACGACATACATCCGAGGACCAACACCGGTCCGGGAGGCGCCGCGGCTGGCAAGGGGCAGACGGAGCGCCCCCAAATGGACCACCCATCGACCAAGTACCGCGAAATTGAGATGCCCAACCCGGTCGTCATGCATCGCGCCGGCTCACCTCCACGGCCTACTCTGCCCCGGAGGTCGGAACCGCGCAGTTGGAAGGCGACCGCGCGAGAGCGCATCCCCCTCACGTCAAGCCTGACAGGCGCGTGCGACACCTTGTACTCTGAAAAGCTGCTGTCCAAGCCGGTTGGGAAAATGGATCTTTCATGTCCCGTAAACAACATCCCCCCTCGCTGCTTTGGGGGTGAATACTTCAGGCAGCCTAGGTTCGGTAGGATTTAGGGGAGCAGTGTTTTCTCCGGTTTGGGGTTTTCCATGCGCCAAGTGGAGTGGGTGGGATGGGATGGGAGACAGATTGGGTTTTCAGAAGGCGACACGACAGGCTCAAACAGGGTGAGTAGTACAGGCGGAACTACGTTTACTGCATTCAAGCCGCGAAGCGATGATGGGTAATGTGCTTGCGGTGTGATTGGTCGTGAAAGAGGGAGCGAGTGTGTGTGTGTGTTTGTGTGCGCGCTCCGAAACTGCGATGCGGTGGTGAGAAGGCACGTGTGTGCATTTACGTCTGAAAGAACTACATGCGTCTGCATGTATGTATGCATGCATGCATGCATGTGCTGCGCAGGTCCCGGTCGTGCCGGCAAGCAGGGCACTCTGTTGGGGGTCAGCGGCGGCCGCTACGAGGGCGAGGTGCTGGCGGGACGACCGCACGGAAGAGGAAAGTACTTTGTGAGGAAGGTAGGTGGGGGCGCCGCAGGTGGGGGAGACGCCCCTTCCTCGCCGCGCAGCTCCCGCGCCGGCGGGGGAGTCTCGGGATAAACGTGCAGTGGGATGGAAGGAGACGCATTGCTGGGATTGTTGCCGGGTTCATACGCGTACGCTTTTGGTGGCATTGGCCAACACCCATACATACTGGGGAACTCTGTTCAATTTCTTATGTAAGGATGAAAGAATGCCAGCGTGCAAGAATGCCAGCGTGCAAGAATGCGAAAGTGTAAAGGTGCATGGAAAAGAAATTCATCCGTGGTGTCCGACTGGTCCTTGGTCGGTGCCTTATGACGGCGTCATGGTGGTGGCGACCGTGGTGGGGTGGCCGCGGTGGCCGCTGTAACCTGCAGGAGGGCTTGCCTTCTCAGGATTGGATCCTGCAGTACGACGGCGACTGGATCCAGGGCCGCCGCGAGGGCAACGGCACGCGGTACTACCCCTCGGGGGAGGTGTACAGCGGCGACTGGGTGGCCAATATACGGCACGGTACGGGACGGTACGAATATGCGAATGGCGACATGTACGTGGGGCAGTGGGCGGACGACAAGCGGACTGGAGCGGGGACGTTGTACATGGCCACTGGTGAGTGCGGGCCCGCGGGTGGCGCGTGTATATGTATGTTTATGTGCGTATGTATGTAAATATGTATGTACGTTTGTGTGTGTATATACTGAAAAGAGTGAGGCCAATGAGTCTGAGTCTGTGTAGATTCACCTGGGGGGTTCTGGGAGGTTGGCGAGTGTGCGGTGTGAGGCAGGGGTCGTGGGGGGATTAGGTGGTGCTTCGTGGTGGGATGTGCGGGTATTGTGGGGGCGAGTAGGGGTTGCCGTGCAGAGGGGTGGGGGGCTCGATTGGATCTAGCAGTGTAGCAGCAAGGGCGGGTAGCAGCAGCAGGATGTGTGCGAGTATTCACAAATGCCATACATATGTCTGTGTGTGAGAGAGATACATATGTGTGGAGTATATACATTATGTGTGAGTGAGTGTGGGATGGAATGATTGTGTTAAGGAATTCCTTCATTGGTGCAGCCCAGCGACAGCAGCAGCAACTTGTGCTCGTGTGTATTTCTGCTCGTGTGTGTGTGTGTGTGTGTGTGTCTGTCTGTCTGTCTGTCTGTATGCGCGCACAAGTCGGATGTTGTTCTCCACAGCCCTACGCCGTACATCACTGCGTTACGGCCGGACACATAAAAATCTCCCCTTCATCAAGACTTACACGCACATACACACACAGAAAACAGCTCAGCTTATCAAGATACACGTACAGACGTACACACACACTATGTGTACCTCCTCCTACATATCCGCAAGGCAGTTTCACATAAATGACGTATTTGCCTCAACACACTCACATTAAGACACGGGCGGTTTGTGGTCGCACACACAGGCGACATTTTCATTGGCAACTTTATGTCGGACCGGCGCGAGGGCATGGGCACGCTGTACATGATGTCCCGCCAAAAGAAGTACTTGGCGGAGTACGTACGGGACAGCCCGAAGTGCGGCACAGTGCTGGAAATCGACGACAACGACTTGGCGCCGCTCAAGGTATCGCCGGTTTTGGAGCGAGCTCCAAACTTTGCTTTGCGAAAGGGTCTTGGTTTCGAAGCTGTGTTCCTTGTAGACGATTTCCGCATTTGGGTTCCTTGCTGAGTGCCACAGAGAGTTCGCCGCCGCGATGAGGATCGGGTTCCCAAAACGTGGATTCCGTTTCAGATCCAGATTCCGACCGCCGGGCCGAGCGTGTTTCGTTCCCAAGTACCTATTTTTACAAGTATGCTTTACAAGTTGCAAAAAGTCAGCCAAAAATATAAGAGTTTTCCGTACAACTGGGGGGGGGACTTACGTAAACGCTGAGAGGTTCAGCAGCGGGTTTGGGCGGGGTGTGTGATTGGGTGGGAGCCCTTTGTTTGGGGACGTAGCGGGGCCAGGGGCTGGGGCTAATGAGCAACATCAGCAGTGGTGGTGGTGGTCATTGTGTTCTGGTGGCGGTAGTGATGATAATACATACATACATACATACATACATACATACATACATACATACATACATACATACATACATACATACATACATACATACATACATACATACATACATACATACATACATACATACATACATACATACATACATACATACATACATACATACAACTTTCACTTATGCCACACGCCACCGCGGTTACCGGCCAGGGCCATCTCGCCTCTCTGGCCGCCGCACGCAAGCTGGATGCAGCAGCCGCCGGCGAGGCAATTGCACGCCTGCCACCGCTACAGCTGCTACAGCCTTCCAAGGTGCTAGCAGAGCAGGTGGTGGCTGTACGGCGGGATCGGCAGCAGGGCGGCAGCAAGGCGCTGCGGGCGGTGCAAGCGGCCAGCGGCAACCTCAGCGAGCGCGATATCGAGATGCTGCGCCACAGCTACACACTCATGGCAGCAGGTGGGCCGAGATGGGCTTTTCTCCAACCACCCCTCCTCCTCCCCCTCACCAACATCGAACTCCCCGTTTTCCCTGCGATTGGTTATATTCCTCTGGGCTTGGGAAATGGTTAGCGGGGGGATTTTCTTGGGGGACCGTTTCTTCCCCCCCTTGGGGATTTCTTCTCCAAGTTAACTTCTCCCCCATGTTTTCCGGGGGGAATACCGTCTCTCCATCTTCCTCTCCTTTTTCTCTCTCTCCCTCTCTCTCTCCGTGTCTTCCAGGTGACGGTCCAGAGGTGGGTCTGCTGCCTCACCAGCTCCGCGAGCTGGTGGTGATGGCGGGACTGGATCCAGCCGCACCCTCCACGAGGAGCCTGGTGGAGGAGCTCATGCGGCGCAGAACGGCGAACACGGTAAGGAGGGGAAGGGGGGGGACGTACTGGCGGAGTGGGGGAGAAGGCGGAGAGGCAGGGAAAGAGGAATCACATGCAAGAGAGAAAGGATTATCAATGGGGGGGAAGGGAGGGAGGGGGGCTGCATGGGAGGGGATGAGTTAGGGGGAAGTGCATGGGGGGTTGCATGCATCGGTCTGTCCGGCTGTCCGAACTGGGGCTGGTTGGCTGGCTGGT